CATGGGGTCGCTATGAGTCGGTTCCGACTCAATGGCACCTGACAATAACAACAACAAATTCATGTTTACAATTTTTCCCCCTAGGACTAAACAAATTACCTTCTGTGAGTGACATGATGACTGACATAACAACGAGGAGGACTAAAACTAGAAAAGAGTAAGAACAACATTTCTTGGTGTCTATCAATTGAAAGTGTTTTGGTGGCTCTGTTTGCTTATCAAGTATTCTTTGTATTTTCCTCATCACAGAATCTGAGTCTATATGTCTAGATGAGATCTCAAATTATCAACTTTTTCGTTTTTCTTAACTAAGCATAATATCATGTATGAAAAGTTCATGGAGTAGAATGGATGCAGAATGGTCCATCACAGACACATCAGAAGTGTTGTTCAAAGTCCATGAAAAACCAGATGCAGCATGCAATTATAAATTGTGTCATGTGAGGCATATGAAAATGAAAGGTGAAATGGATTGTTTCATTCTTTCCATGAGTTGGAAAGATAAATCAATGTGAGAAACGAGTTGACAAATCACTACAGAATCTGATTAAAATTTTGACATGAGAGCAGAAGCTTGCACGTTGTGTCAAATCTCTTAATAGAAAATCATTCTCAAACATTGTAATTATTCCTCTCCACAAATATCTGTTGAGAATTCACAATGTGAATGTAGCAGCATATTTCCTAAGATCAAAAAGTTTATGTCCTAAGAAGTGTCACTTTGACTAAAAAAAATCACATCTTAGTAATATTTAAAATCAAATGAATTTCACACATGCCCAAAACTGGGAAGTGGGATTTCATTTCATAGTGGCCTGTGAAATTCACATATCATACTTCATTCTAAATGAGAACCAAATACATGGCAAAAATAGAATGATCTCAGTTACAGAATTTAGGAAATGAAGGCTATCATTAATAAGAAAAACTCTTAAATCCTTCTATTATTTTCCAAAATTCCTTGGAAGGATTTTAGTGAAGAAAATAAATATGTAGGAGTATTTCACTGAAAACCATGGAGACCAGGGTAAAAAAAACATTCTCTCTCTTACTTTTTGGAGAAATCATCGGTTGTTTGTTGCTTTTGTTTGGTACCATCCAGCTGATTTTGACTCATAAAGACCCCATATGACCAAGTAGAACTGCCCCCATAATATTTTCTAGGCTGCAGTATAAGCACTAGACATCACCAGAACTAACCACAACGTTGGCAGTTTAAACCCACCAGCCACTTTGAGGGAGAAAGAAGAGGCTTTCTGCTCTCACAAAGATTTACAGCCTTAGAAACGCTATACAAGGTCTCTATAAGTTGGAATGCACTCATTGGCAGTGAGTGTGTTTTCATTTGGAATTGTAAAAGGAGCAGATCACTCTACCCAGAAAACTCTGTGTGGGTTCCAACATTTTGGTTAGCAGTTGAGTACTTAACTGCTGCACTACCAGAGCTCCTTTATCTGTTGGTTTGTATTGTTGGTTGCTGTTGAGTGAATTCCAACTAATGGCAACTCCATGTGTGCAGAGTAGAAATGCTCCATATAGTTTTCAAGGCTGACCTTTCAGAAGCAGATCACCAGGCCTGTCTTCAGTGAGACCTCTGGGAGGGTTTGAACCACAAGCCTCTCTGCTAGTACACAAGCACTTAACTGCAATTATTTCCCATAAGCTCCCTCACACAAGGCCCTTGTTTAGAGGCTAGGTATATGTTTGGGCAGCTGAATATTGTCATCTGTCTTGAGGTCTCTGATTTGTCTCTTCTGGTTTCAGATTCCTGAATAACCCCCGTGACTCACACAGAGTTCAGTATGTGGATTACATGGATGAAATTGCCACCGAAATCGGTGTGAAACCCAGCCTGTTCTCATTGTTCTTATGGGATCCAAAGCTGGCCATGGAGGTTTTATTTGGTCCATGCACTCCATACCAGTACCGTCTGCAGGGCCCAGGGAAATGGCATGGGGCCCGGGAAGCCATCCTGACCCAGAGAGAGCGGATCATCAAACCCCTGAGGACTCGCATCCTCAGCTGTGGGCAGCCTTCCTCGTCTGTGCCACTTTGGCTTAAAAGTATCTGTGCTGCTTTTCTCTTCATTGTCACGTTAGTCATTATTCAAGGGTAATCTTTACATCATCACTTTTTTTTAAATGTCTTTATCAGAAACTTTGTCCAATAGGACCATATTCTATAGAATCATCGATTTCTAGTATTACTAAGGGATTTCTTTAGGGCATGGAGGGAAACTGGGAATAATGGAAGGCAAAAATCATACATAATTTTGTGGGCTATTAAAGCTATCAAAAGTATATGGAATAAGTTCTGTCTATAGACACATTCAGGAGTGTGGTGGCTCTGTAAGATAATCACTGGACTGTGAGTCCCAACATCAGTGGTTTGAGCCCACCAGCAGGTCCTCAGGAGAAAGATGAGACTTTCTGCTACTGCAAAGATTCACAGCCTCGGAAACCTTATACAGGGTCACTATGAACCTGAACTGACTCCATGACACTTAACATAGGAACACACAGAAGCAGAAATGGGAGGTGGAAGGTAAACAGGTATTTAAAGGACACTGGTGGCATGGTGGATAAAGCATTGGACTGTTAACCACATGGTCAGTGGTTCAAACCTACCATGGAAGGATGAGTAAAGATGTAGCCTCAGAAACCCTAAGGATCAGTTCTTCATTGTCCTAGCAGGTCACTATGAATTTGAATTGACTCAATGGCAGTGGGCGTGGATAGCAATAGCTTGATCAGGTATTTGGAATATTTACAGAGACTTTTATAATTAATTTAACAGAGAGATGAAATATCCCTTTATTCTCTAATTAAATTATTCGTTACATCAGCCTTTGCCTAATCCTGTTTCTGATATTTAACAATTTGTTGTCTTAGATCTGAACTTTAATATTCATTCTTTCATTTACTCAAAAATCTACTTCTTGAGGCTCTGCAGCATCAGACATTGTGCTGAACAGCAGGAATAAAAACACAGAAATGTTGACTGTTGTCTGGTCTCGTGGTTTTAGTGTCATTTATGCCTTGTTGATGCCCGCCTCCTATCCCAGCCCTAACCTCTTCCTAAAGCTTAGACTCACATCACCAAATGCTTACTCATTATATTCAGGTTCAAACTAAACCAAAGTCCTGAAGTTTACCCCTCAACTGCTTTCTTGCAGGCAATCCCATTTCTATAAATGCAACTGCATCTTTTTGGTCTCCAACAAAAAAAATTCACCTCTTCTTGATTCCTCCCTTTCATACCCTACGTCCAACCTATCAGTAAATCTTGTGATCTTCAAATTTGATCCAATACCTCATCACCTCCACTGCTACACCTTAGTGCATGCCAACATCTTTTATCTGTGTTCTTATAGTAGTCGCTTAACTGAACTTCTTGCTTCACCCTGATCTCTGTGTTTATTCTCATTATAAGAAGTCCTGTTGGGTCCGTGGTTAAGTGCATAGTTTTTAACCAAAAGACTGGCAGTTCCAGCCCACCAGCAGCTCCATGGGAGCAAAATGTGGTAGTCTGCTTCCATAAAGATTCCAGCCTAGAAAAGCTGATGATGCAGTTCTCTTCTGTCACGGTCACTATGAGTCAGAAACAATTCAACTGCATACTACAACAACCACATTCTTACTTAAACAACCAAAATTGTATTCTGAAAATGTAAGTCAAATTGTGATACCTTTCTGCTCAACACTTCCATTTCACTCAGAAATAAAAAACAAATCCTAACTAACATTTCACTCCCTTGAGATTTGTGTTCAAATGCCACCTTGCCAATGAGACCTTTCTTGACTACGCTATATAACGGACACTATACCAGTTACCTTCTAGTCAACTCTGACACATGGCAACCCAGTGTGTAACAGTAGAACTATACTCCATCAGGTCTTCAATTTTTACTTTTTCAGGATTGTCTTCTAAGTTGCCTCTGGGTGGACTCAAAACTCAATTTGTTTGTTCTTCTGTAAACCTATGGTACTTTCAATATTCTTTGCCAACACCATAATTCAAATGCATTGATTTTTCTATGGTCTTCCTTATTCTTTGTCCAACTTTCACATGCATATGAGACAATGGAAAATATCATGGCTTGGGTCAGGCTCACTTTACTCCTCAAAGTGACATCTTTGCTCTTGAGCACTTCAAAAGGTCTTTTGCAGTAGATTTTCCTAATGCATTGCATTTTTTATTTCTTGACTGTTACTTCTAAGTGTTCATTGTGGCTCCAAGTAAAATGAAATATTTGACAACTTCAATCTATTCTGCATTTATCATGTTATTTATTAGTACAGTTGTAAGGATCTTTGTTTTATTTATATTGAGGTACAATCCATATTGTTAGGTGATTTTTGCATTCCACTGGGTCACCTTTCTTTAGAATTGACACAAATACAGATCTCTTCTATTCAGTTAGCCAGGTAGCTGTCTTCCATATTTCTTGGAATAGACTAGTGAGTACTTCCAGTGTTGCATCCGTTTTTTGAAAGATTTCAATCTGTATTCCATCAATTCTTAGAACCTTGTTTTTCACCCATTCCTTCAGTGTTGTTGTTTGGACTTTTTTCTTCAAAGCCCTAGATTCTTGATCATATACTACCTCCTGAAATGGTTGAACAGTTAACAATTATTTTTGATGCCGTGACTGTATGTTTCTTCCATTTTCTCTAGATGCTTCCTGCATCAATCTATATTTTGCCTATATAATCCTTCAATAAGGAGCTCTGATAGTATAATAGTTACAAGTTGGGCTTCTAACCTCAAGGTCAGTACTTCAAAACTATAAGCCGTTCCATGGGTGAAAGGTGAGGCTTTATGCTCCCTCAAAAGATTTACAGCTTCGGAAACCCTATACAGGGTCACTATGAATTGGAACTGACTCCACAGCACACCACCACCATCAATCCTTCAATATTACAAGTCAAGTCTTACATGTTTCCTTCCGTTCTTTCAGCTTGAGACATGTTAAGCATGTTCTTCCTTTTTGGTTTTCTAACTTAAACTCTTTACACATTTCGTTATAATATTTTACATTGTCTTCTTGAGCTGCCCTTTGAAAATTTCTGTTCAACTCTTTTACTTCATCATTTCCTCCATTCACTTTAACTGCTCTCTATTCAAGAGCACATTATCTTTGGTCATTTGTCTTCAGTTGTCAAACCTATTCTTAAGATAGTCTCTAAATTCAGAGTGGGTAGAATATATTCAAGGTCATATTTACTAATATGCTGGTAAGCTGATAAGTGCCATAGAGTTGGTTCCGACCCATAGCAAGCCTGTATAGGGTTTCCAAAGAGCAGCTGGTGAGCTTGAAACATACAGAGGTGGTTTAATTGATCCTTTACCTGGCTTTGCAATGCATAATGATCTCTGTTGTTCCAGATGATTCACGGGTACATGGAGAAGAAAACAGTGATAGTGGTTGAGTATGGGGCCAGTGATCTGTGGGCCACTCAGTGTTGCTGGAGTGAGAAGCTGAAGTTCACCTGCTCTGAACAAAGTGTCAACATTGGGCCACTAGGAATTGTTCTCCTGCAGAGAGGATAGAAATATAAGTAGGAATCTGTTGGCCCATATCTCAGAGTTCGTTATAAAACAAAGATGTGGATATAAATAGCTTCTCTCCTTTCAAGAGCAAGTTTCAGAGTCTCTTTTAGACATCTGTTTTGGGTTTGTTTTTTGTTTTGTTTTTTTCTTTCCTATCTTTTTAATGATCTTTTGCTTTCTTCCTGTATGATGTACTTGATGTCATCCCACAACTCCTCTTGTCTTCAGTCATTAGTGTATAATGCATCAAACCTGTTCTTCAGATATCTCTAAATTCAGGTGGGATATACTCAAGACTATGTTTTGGTCCTCCTGGACTACTTTTAATTTTATTCAACTTCAACTTGAGCTTGCATATGAGTATTTTCTGGTCTGTTCTACAATCAGCCATTGGCTTCTCCATAGTCTGAGCTTCTCTATAATCTCTTCCCACAGATGTAGTCAATTTGATTCCTGTGTATTTGATTCCAATTTGAGCCCATGTATATAGTTGTCATTTATGTTGTTGTCAAAAAAAGATATTTGCAAGGAATAAGTCATTGGTCTTGCCAAATTCTATCATGTGACCTCCAGAATTGTTTCCATTACCAAAGCCATATTTTCTACTACTGTAAAAACTACTAATTTTTTCTCTTTGTTTCCAACTTTGTCATTCCAACCACCTGTCATGACCAATGCATCTTGAGTGTATGTTTGATCAGTTTCAGACTGAAGAAGTTTGTAGAATTCTTCCATTTCATCATCTTTGGCTTTAGTGGTTGGTGGGCAAATTTGAATACTAGTGATATTACCCAGTCTTCCTTGAAGGTGTATGGATATCATCCTATCACAGATGACATTGAACTTCAAGACAGGTCTTGAAATGCTTTTTTTGACAATGAATGTAATGCCTTCCTCTTCAATTTATCATTCCTCACATAGCAAACTCTATGATTGTTTGATTCAAAATGGTCAATACCTGTTCATTTCAGTTCACTAATACCTATGATATTGATCTTTGTGTGTTCCACTTCATTTTTTATGACTTACAATTTTCATAGATTCATGCTTCATACATCCCATGCTCCAATTATTAATAGATGTTTTTGGCTTTTTCTTCTTATTTTGAGTAGTGCCCCATCAGTAAGTTAAGATCCCAAAAGTTTTGTTCTACCCACATCATTAAAGTCAGCTCTCCTTTGAGGAGGCAGCTCTTCCCCAGTCATATTTTGAATGCCTTCCAACCTGAGGGACTCATCTTCAGGCACTATATCAGACAATGTTTCACTGCTATTCAAAAGGTTTTCTGTGAGTAACCATTCAGAAGGGGTTCACCTCTCCTTCTTCCCAGTCTGTCTTTGTCTAGAAGCTCCATTGAAATCTATCCACTATAGGATATACCAGTGGCATAGCTCCCAGCACCTCAACAATACACAAGGCACCACAATATGACAAACTGACAGACAAGTGGTGGCTGTATAAGACAGCACTCATGAAAGCAGTCATTCCCATCCTGTTTTATTTTTCTCCCTGGCATAGTACATATAAACTATTATTTTGTTTTGTTTGCCTGTTTCTCTCTTG